CTGAAAATCTCATGCCCATAGCCCGTAGCAACTCCCACGCTCTGTAACCGCCTGAGGACTAATTAACCAATCAGCCCATGTCAACTATAACTGCGTGGATAAGCCTTATAAAAGTAAGGTTACCCCTGAGCTCGGGGCCCAGATCTTCAGAGCACTAGCTCTTCTGGGACCGCCGGCATAATAAACCTGAGTTCTCCAACCCTCCGAGTGCTGCTTGGTTTCTTGCTGGTCTGATTTTTCTGCAACAGTACTAGTGTACTTGTTCTCTTAGATTTCCCATTCCCCTCCTGCTGCTGCTTCCTTTTTAGCTAGCTTTTAAATGTTAATCCAGGCCTCTCCCTGCCTGGCCTGTAATCTGTTCAAAATGTGTCTAGTACTTGCCTCATTTTACTCTTGTTGTTGGGTTTATTTGCATGTCCTTAACACTTTAATTGTGAGTTTTCTTCTGGGACTTGCAACAGTCACCTTTAACTTCATCTCCCACTTGCTAATTCCTCATCCAATTGCCTTATATCAAACTGGTTTGATTTCTCCAGTAGCTTATTTAACACTCTGCCTAGCTTAGATTTCCACCCAAGGCAGTAGGCATTTCAACCGAATTGTGTCCTTGCAATTTATTTTTCCAGACTTTCCTAGAAACTACAATTACTTCTTACCTACATTTGTCTTGCTGATTGAATGACCTCAGCTTGAGAGGCAACATGTTAGGGTAGCTGGATGGCATTAACGTGTGACTTGATTACACTTGGGGTAGGAAGGCCTGGTCCAAGCCCTTCTATCTTCATGGTATGGTATGGAGATAATCATACCTGGAGTGTTGGCATGGCTGTGTTACTTAGGTTGTTTCAGGCTGCCAGGAAGAGGTATTCCAGTTTATGAGCTGAATGTACAAGTGGCCTCATAGATAACTGAAAAGTGGCTCAGAGTTGTACTGACATAAGAGAAGCAACAGTAGCTCAGATCTGGGACTTCGGCATTCTCCTTGCATCTCACATCCAAAAGTCCCCTGCAGAAGGGATCTGGGTGGGTCATTTATTTACCCTTTATCTTGTAGCCTCCTGATTGAATAGACTTTGGCTCAGCTATTGATCCCTGGTCCAAGCAACTGTGACCAAATAGCACAGTTGACTCAACTCAGGAACAAGCTGCAGCTGACCAAAGCATCTTCATGTGGAAAGTACTGCCTGGTACTCCTTTCCCCAGAATGGGGGCTGTGGTCACAGCAAATGTTTATGGCAGCCTGCCTGCAAGGGGATTCTTGCAACGCTGATACTCACACTCCTTGAGAAAAAGATCCAGTGGTCAAATAAATTTGGAAACAGCACATGTTACCTCATTCTGTTTAGAGATTCACAATGCACATTAGTATATCAAAGGTGTGGAGAAGCCCTACAATAACAACTCTTTAACTTGGCTTGAGGCGGCACTACCAAGTAAATTCTTTTTACTTAACATCTTGTTGATGCTCAATAGAAGATACTTTGACAAGTGTTGACTTAGACCTCATGAACTGCCTGGTGCCACCAGCTTTATCACTGTCCCCCGAACCAGCAGTCCCCAAGTACTGTGCATCAAAACCACCTGGGGACATTTGACTAAATAGAGTGAGCTAACTGTACCTCTAGAGATTCTGACGTACTTTGGGGAGAGGCCTAGAGATCAGAATTCAAATGCTCCCCAGGTATTAGAGCTTCAAATAATAGTAATTCTATTATTAAAAAATAGCATAAAAATAGCATTTATTGAACATATCCTATGTGGCAGGCACTAATCAAGTGTGACTTTATTTTCTTATTTTATTCTTAAATCTACCCTGCCAAATAGATATTATTATCACTAGTTTACAAGGAAGGAAAGTGAAGTTCCATGAGGCTAGACAAGCCCATGATCACACAGCTTATGTGGTATGAGGCTGAGAAATCAGAAACTTCTGATTTCTATATCCAAATTCTTTAGTCTACACGTCTCTTCCGGGAACCTTCTTCTCTTGGTCTGGAAGTGCCTATTACTGGTGGACAGTTAACAAATTATTGTGGAATGAACAAATGTCATTAAGGACTTCCAAAGTCTCTTTCAGCAAAAACATCCCAAAATTCTGTGACTCAATGTTGTGAAGAATAAATGATACCACACAATTTGAGGTCATATCCACGTAGACGCTCAATATTAACCCTCTTTTGTTTACGCTGAAAAGCATTCCTTAATTAACATTGCACAACTCCTAGCTGTCTAGCCTTCAATGAACTCTTCTACTTACAGTTTGGCTCTACTCTAACTAAATGGTAACAGCAATTGCATATGCAATAACCTATAAAGCTAATTCAAGAAAGACATTAGCTCTTAAAAATGACTGAGGAGCAAATGTGCTATCTATAGGTCCTAAAATAGAGCTCCCATTCTAAGAAAATTCCTTTGCACATCAATAAAAATACGTACCACTAAACAGCTTGTCACTAAAAATCATCTTCCTGGGGTTAAATGCTCTTTGTGCAGATGTTCAGGAGATATTACACAGGATCCAGGCATTGGCTGCAGCTAAGAAATTCCACACTTAAATCTGAAAACTTTCCATGATAATTTTCTACTCTCCCTCAAATCGGGAATGAAAAAAATCCATCATACACAGAAGAAAGGCCTTTCTCCTGGCGCTTAGGTTTCTGGAATTCATAATGGGGATGTTACACCAAGCTTTAGGACACAAAGCAGCCATTTGGAAGGGCTTTACTGCCACATCGTGGTCAAAATGTGCATTACCATCCAAAGCAAGGGCCACACAACCTGTGCGCGGCTCTAAACCACTTCCCTTATGACAGAAATGCCTATGACATCTTTTGACATGCCTCAATAAACTAAGACAGAAAAAAGGGTATTAAACTGTCTGGCAATAGCCCCTGGTTGGGAATAGGTTCTTTTAAACTGGTTTCTCCCAGGCAATCATACCTGAGCTTGCTTACACGCGCCTAGTTTCAAAAAAGTATTTTTCAAATTCTTTTTCTATTGACTGTGTTTTGAAGAAAACTATTTTGTAACACCAAGAAAAGGCCTAACTCCAGGATTATTTCCTCTATTCCCAATTTCCACCAACTAATTTCTTTCTTCTCTTCTCCTTTTCTTTCATCTATCCATCCTTCCTTCCTCTCTCCCTTCCTTCCTTCCTTCCCTCCTTCCTTCCTTCCTTCCTTCCTTCCTTCCTTCCTTCCTTCCTTTCCTTCCTTCCTTCTTTCCCTCCCTCCCTCCTTCCTTCCTTCCTTCCCCTCCATCCCTATTATCTGTAAACTTCCATGTTTAACTTTAAATCCCTTTACAAAGAAATTCCTATATCTAATCCATCCGTTACTTATTAGCTGTGTGGCTTTGGGCAAGTTCCTTAATCTCTCTGCTCTCTGTTACACATTTGGTAGAAGAATGGTTTTTACATTTTTAAAAGACAGGGCTGGCCAACAAATAACAATATGGGACAGAGAACACATATTGCCCTCAAAGTCTACTCTAGCCTTGTACAATATGAAGTGCATGGTATTGTCTATAAGTAGTCTAAAACAAATACAACCTGAATCTAATGAAGGCTTTAGAACTTTCGGTTGACAGACAGTAGAAGGAAGAGTAGAACAAGCTCAATGGCACTGCCCTTGCCCCTAGTGGATGCTGCAGTGGGCCACCAAGACCGCCCCCTTCCCCAATTTTCCCCCACTTGCTGGGAATGTATTCTGTCGATAGATCAGAGTTTGATGGGTCACAGCTGAGTTCCTCTCCAGGAACTGCTCTCAGTTGAAGGGAGCCGCCCTGTCCAAGGTTATACCTCTCTTTGGGAATGGCCCATATTTGAAGATTCATTGATATGAGAATCTTTTGCCTCATTTGGGGACCTCTATAAAGGACCACCCAGCTCTACGCCTCCCCTGCTGAGCCCTCACATGTTACTGCATGGCAGTTCAATTTCTCTCTCTGCCCGAGTCTGGGCCCCTTATTCACAGGTGTTGATCACAAGCACCTTTGCCAATAAACTACCTGCAGACAAATTTCCATCCCAGAGACTGTTTTCCAGAGAACATGACCTAAGACATCACTCTAGTCTACTTGCAACAGAACAGTTAGAGTTATCCTGCTCAAAGTAAGTCAGATCACCACTCTTTTGTTTATATCCCTTCAATGACTCCATCTATTCAGACTCAAAGCCTTGTTTTCTGCACTCCAGTCCTATACCCTTTTGACCTCATCTACTCCTCTGGTCCTCAATCATTCCAGCTGCACTGGCTTCCTTGCTGTTCCTCAAACATGCCAGGCACGTTTCTGCCTCAGGGCCTTTGCTCGTACTGTTCTGTCTTCCTGGAATGCTGTTTGCCCAGGTATCTGCATTGCTTGCTACCTCACTGACTTCAAATCTTGACTCAAATGTTGCCTCAGTGAAGACTTCCCAGACCTTCTGTTTAAGCCTGCTAAACGTCCAC